CGCCTTTTAAAAACTGGGAGTCCCCCCCTCACACGTTTTAAAAACGGGGTGCAATCGCCCCTTTCAAGCAGCACCAACGCCCCCCTCCCTTCCCCAGTGCGCGCAGCTTTTAGAATTTCGAGAAATACATTTAGACAAAAAAAAATCTGCCTTTTCAAGCGTGATCAACGATTTACCATTGTTCCGGGTTTTTTTTTTTTACTGCTGACAATTTCCTGCGTCTTTTAACCAGGAACCAGGCTATTTTGTTCCAAATAGAAAGCGGTTCCTTAAAAATAATAAAAGTGGATTTTTGCGCCCTTTAAAAAAAAAGAAAAAAAAAGATTCGGAGATCCTTACCCATAAGTAAGTTTCTCCGAATTGGTTTCTTCCCCCAACCACACTTTGTCATCAGAATTTCCAGCACGGCTTGCCAATATTAGGATTAATCTTTTGGGGAATTTTTTGTTTTGTTTTGTTTTATCCATTAGCCCTTAAAAGGCAGAAAAAAAAGGAATATTTCAAGGAGCAAAGTTTAAACGTGCACAACAGATTCCTTAGAATACCGCAACGAAGCTTCCAACTCGAGTTTTACTCCACCACCGTTTGGGACGCCGGGCTCGGCCAGATCCTTGGAAAAAAGGATTTCTCGATTCAAGGAGACCGACATCTAAATTAATCGGGGAACCAATTTTATCTTCGTCGAGAATTCAAACGGAATCAAGCTATAATATAACATGATACAGTATTGTTTTTTTAAGGATACTCTAGTACAGCATTCTGACAAATTCCGAGGAACCAAAAATCCTTACCGGGCGGGTTCTTAACATAGTTTGCGTTATAAATTAACAATTAACTACCGCACATGCTTTTGAGTAGGGTGGCCGCTTCCCCGACGGGAAGAGAAGCGTGAAGAAACGCCGGTCGTTCTTTCCAAATGTTCTTTCTTTTTTATTTTTAGAAGAGAGGAAAGGCGAGCCGGGGGACCCTCCTTTCCATCCTGGCTTTGGGAAGGAGTCAGTTCGGCCTTGGAAAATAGCTCCCTTTTTCCCTCTTTTTTTGCTAAGTCTTCATTCCGCTTTTGTTAAAGGCTCGGCACCGCTCCGCAGGATATATATATATATATTATATATAAGGCTGGGTTTAGAAGCAGAGTCTTCGGAGTGGGAAAGAATTGAAGGCAAATTCCAGTTTTGTTATTTTTCCCTGCTCAGCTCCGCCAAAACCATGGGGGGGGGGAGGAGGGAGGAAGGGAGGGGGGAAGAAAAAAGAAAGAGCCCCCCCACTTTAGCTCCTGGTCGCTGGAGACCCTTCCCTGGCGCTTCTTCCGACGCCGCTGCCTTAGACCAGGCCGCTGACCGGCGCCCGCAGGAATTGCGCGGCGCCCCCGGGGAAGGCGCTCAGCGGATAAGCCACCGGGCCGGCGGCCAGGCCCAGCAGCGGGGGCGGCGGGGGCGGCCCGTGGGGCGAGAGCGGCAAGGCGGCCAGGGCGCTGCCCGCCAGCGAGCTGTCGTGGTACAAGACCGGGACGCGCACGATCCTCTGGCTGGAGGATGGAGGCAGCTGGGCGGCCTCCAGGTCGGCGGCCAGCTGGCGCTTCCACTTGTTGCGCCGGTTCTGGAACCAGATCTTGACCTGCGTCTCGGTCAGGCGCAGCGAGGCGGCCAGGCCGGCCCGCTCCGAGCTGCTCAGGTAGCGCTTCACGTCGAAGGTCGACTCCAGCTGGAAGACCTGGCTCCGGCTGAAGACGGTGCGCGTCTTCTTCTTGCGCCCGCCGGGCCGCGCCTCGGCCGCTTCCTCCGCTTCCTCCGGCCGCGGCTTGCCATCCCCGGCCCCGCCGGCTCGGGCTCCGGAACGCGGCCGGCCGGCCTCCTGGCTCTCCTCGGTGGGCTTGGGCTGGCTTGCCCCCCGTTGCTCGCCGCTCGCCTTCTCCTGGGTGGCTCCGTCGGGGATCTCCGGAGAGTCTCTGTCGCTGGCTGGGGGGGGGTGGAGAAGGGGAGAGGAGGAGGAGGAGGAGGAGGAGGAGGGGGGAGAAGGAGGGAAGGGGTCAGTCCGAATTGTAGGGGTCCCCCCCTCCCCGACAATCCACACCCGCCTCTCCGGACTCTGGTCGCAGCCCGACCCTCTCGGGGTGGCCAAGCGAGAAGGCCGGGTCAGTCCCCCCAAGGAGCCGGCCGCTCCGGTCCCGCAACCCCCCTGAAGAAATTAGATTGTGGGGGGGCTGCTGAGAAAGCCCCCCCGCACCCAGCAGAGCTGGCTTCCCCACCCGCGCTTCCCTCACTCCCGCGTCGCCCTTCCCGGGAAGGCCAGGAACGCAGGCCGCCTGGCACCGCGCCAGGGCGCACCGGGCAGGTGGAGAGGCGCACCGGGACGGCCTCTGTCCTTTCTGCCCGGTGGGGGCCTCCAGCAGCGCCTCTGGGGGGGACGACGAGGCATGGAGGCCGGGCCCAAGGGGCGCGGGGAGGCGGGCAGGCGGTGCGCGCAGGGCGCGGGACTTACTTTCCGGGCTGGCGCAGCTCCTGAAAGCCTTGCGCGCCCTCCGGTACCACTCCCGGGCGCTTTCCCGCAGCGGCGAGCTCCTCGGGTCCAAGCGGGTGCCCCCCGGGGGCTGGCAGCAGGCCAGGGGGCAGGGGCGGGGGGTCGCCGGCGTCTCCTGGCGGGCCCGGCCCGGCCCTTCCTCCTCTTCCTCCTCCTCCTCCTCCTCCTCCTCGTCCTCCCGCCGCCGCCGCTTGGTTTGGGCCGCCAGCAGGTTGGCGATGAAGAAGGAGGAGACCCGAGCGGAGGCGGCCTGGACGCTTCCCGAGGCTTGGTCCGGCATCCTGGAGCGCCGAGAGGGGCAGCCAGAGCCGCTGCGCGCGGGGACCCCCGGCTTCAGGATACGGGAGCCCGCCCCAGTGGAGGAGGAAGAGGAGGA